TACCTTCTAACCGTCTGGGTGTACCAAAAAAAAATTATAAATTTCCATCTCAGTCGCTCGACCGTCATATCACTATTTATAGAAACTACTAACTCCTCCTCCAGTACCTTAAACTCCATCTGAGTAAGGTAACACCTTCTCGAGGGTTAGCTCCGATATTCAAAATTGAACTCCTCAACTACCGTAGTAATAACAAGTGTTATTATTACACCTGCTATAAATGCATCTAATAACTCAACAACTAATCGAAAGATTTAAATATTTTATCATTTGTTAAGAGCATCCACTTCCATAATTGCTTCCACCAGATGGAACTTGATATAAAGTGTGAATTACCACTTCTATCTATCTAAACCATCTCGTGATCCGTTATATTCGTATGAACTGATATCTTACCAGCTCGATCAAAATAGATAAAATGAAACTGATTTAATTTTATCAGTCAACCAATATCCCATCTAGAATCCTGACCCTTGCATCAAATCAGCAATCCCTTAACTAAATCCGTGAAAATGCTCTGTCATTTCCACTTCAATATAGAAAATAGCTGCAAGAATCCAGTGATCTCTGATGGTCCATCTCTACTATTTAATAAATATTAGACTTAGAGAAAAAACACTATATTCCTCTTCCTGCCTGTCCTCCAAACATCTGCTTCATACTGTGAAGCATCATGTTTCTACTAGGGTGAATAAAGTACTAAGAGTTGTGAAACTCAGTCTTTGCATCCTCCATCCAATTTGTCTGCAGAAAGTACTGTTAATCCAGTACCACCAGTTTTCGTCTGTACCCATTATTTAAATTGGAGCATCTTCAAAAGCGAATTCTGCAACTAAATCTATCCACTACTGATCTGTGATAAACTTACCGATATTGAAAGTCAATCGGTAATTCCATTTATCAATAGTCAACTATGACTTTAACTCAACGAAAGTCAACAAACTACGACATTTCCATATATACCATGCACCTCATCTTTATATAGGTGTTTGGTCTTACCATCTTATCTTTGACACACCCTGCTTCTTTAAGACAAGTTAGTGTCAATCCAACTTCTTTGTCTAACTTCAAAAGAATATGAAATCTTTCCATCCTCCACATAAGTCATCAATTTCCTTGCAACAACTATTTGTTGCAAATTGTGACTAAAAAAATAATTCCATATTATTTATGGAAATAAAAATACTTAGCTTCCTCTTCCATGTGCAACACCGGTAAATTCCTCCTAATGACACACCCTCTTGAATAAATTCTTGATTAAGAATTTAGTGCTGAATATTTATTCAGTCTCTTATCCTCACTCGGTGTCATTCCAATAAGTACTTAATCCAGTACTAAATCCTCCTTCCGACTTGGTAACAACTTCTAAAATTTTCAAGAAGATGTTCAGCAAATCCAGCACCTCTGATATATCATCATGGCGTTTTAGTGATCTTTATTTACCACTACCTCACGCATACCGAAACATTAACAATCACCAATATCATGGCATTGTAATATGATACGAATCCACACCTAACGTAAAGTATATCAAATTAATCGTTCTAGATTGTTTGACTCGTAGTGATGGTTTAATTATCCCATCCCAAAACGCACCATAATGACACAATAGATTGGTTAGATTTATGTGTATCTACCAAATCCTATGACCGTATGCTCACAAATTTAGCGTAAATAGCGCTATGACTCCATGTTATTAAAACAATAATTGATTGATCACACACTTATGTCCCCAACTAAACCACATACCAAATCCCGAGTAATTAACAAAAAAAAAATAATAATAAAAAAAATAAAAAATAAATAACATAAAGCACGTATGATAAACACAACAGAACAAAATATACTCCTACTTAGGATATCGTTCTTTCTAGAAAAGAAAGTCTCCTTTGAAATCAACCTTACTAGATTGTTTCAAAATTTCCTTTTATAGTTTTGTAAATAATCATTCAACCTCGAAACATATCCTTTAAAACATAGCTTAAAAGCAACATTTGTTAGTCTAAGCAAATACTAAGGGCTTAACCCTCATCCTCCCTATACACGGAATGTAAACTATCTAACTTGGCTTTATAAAGTGAATTACAACATAATCCATATGCCTTTTTGTATGTGATTTAAAAATTATGTATTTCGTTCTGATAAGAACACATCCGATCCCCAAACTCCTGAACAATACTTCTTATATACCTCTTTTAGAGATGATAAGAAAGCTTAATTATTTGTAGATTGATCAACCCTAATTCTACTAATAACATTCGCTATACTATTAGTAATTCAGATCACCTCGTGCGATCATCCATCTTCAAGATTTAGTACCCTCTCTACTGAATGCACATAAATCTACTCCATTAGGATCCTCTTCGGCTCCTACTCTTCGCTTGTCTCCTTTTTGAGATCAACTGAAGTCGTGTTGGTTCCGATATGCGGTGACCTATCACGTACACCTAAATCATTCCTTGGCTTATACTTTTAAAGTAATGCCAAACGAACCTAAACCGTCAATCCTTAACTCTGCTTTCGGGCAATGAAATCGATAACGTACTCCTTTACTTCTTTGGGTTTTTATTGCTTTCGCCTTGAACCCAATCCTCCTCCTAATGCCAACCATTCTGTAACTACAGAATCTAATTGACATCAGCTCCTCCTAACGAACCGTAAATAGAGTACAACGAATCCTAATATGAGCTCTAAGTTTTAAGAGACGCAACGCGGAAGTCACATAACGAAAGACACTCCTAAGGACACTTGAACCTGGAGTGCTCTGATACCAACTGTGATACCCCCGAATTTCCGAATGTGGGTTGGCCAGGCCCACGCCCGAATACCCGAGGATATCAAAACAAATTGATAATAAACGAACACAGAGTACAAAAGAATAAAGAAGAATAAATAAAATGCTGACAAGAAACTAAAATGATAATCTAATAATAAACCTCATAATATATTTCCATTAATTAATAAACTCTTCTGATAAAACTGATCCTCCAAAATACAACTCGGGAATCCATACTGTGTGGACCCCTAGAAAATCCAAACTAAACAAATGACAGTATTCTAAAACAGGAAACTGAATCATAAAGGAACTCCTATGTAGCATCGGAAGAATGAAGTAGATTGATCCCCGCTCAGCACGAACAACCTCTACTCGTGACGAACACCTGAAAAACAATGGTGGGTCAGGCCCACAAACAAGTTCTACTCTACTACAGTCCAAGCAGAGATCTGATACACGTATACATCCTAGTCAATCCAACAGTAACTAGTAGTCCGTATATATATATATACACACTAAAGGAACCTCACTAGACTATAGGGTTGTCTCAACCTGAATAGTAGGCAACATGCAAAACGCACATATAGTGGGCATGAGTACCTAGACCTACCAGGGTACACAACTACACTATATCTAGCTACACATCCCTGGCGATATACGCACCCTAACCACTGATCCTGAGACTCAAGCTCATATCATGGCACCATACTTATATATATAAAATCTAGTGACCATCCTATCTAGTATAAATTAATCCTCCATAAGTCATTCAACTTGTTCAGCTGACCTGACTTGAATATAAGTAGGACTTAATATTTTAGTTAATCCATTCCCTTATATAATAAATTAATCCTCTATAAGTCATTCAACTTGTTCAGCTGACCTGACTTGAATATAAGTAAGACTTAACATTTTAGTTAATCCATTCCCTTATATAAAATAGGTAGGACTTAACTGATAAGTTAATCCGTCCCTAGAATGCCACCGTCCCATACCGGTGCATTAAACCACACAATCCAACAATTGATGTAATAATTAAAGAAATACATCAAACATTCCAGAAATAACTATGATAATATGATATCAAGTTATCACAGAACATGAATGACTTATTATTTATTTAAGCTCATATATCATATGTCCTACACAAACTGAATCTTATACATGATGATATTTTATTATATCGTCAAATAAGCATTCTCCATATCCAATTCATCCTACACATTTATTCTCAATTGCTAAAGCATTTTAAAAGATTAAATCCATTCGTTTGTGTAAACATTTAAATAGCAAGCATCGTTATGATTGAGTGTATTTAAATTTATTTAAACCCAAACCTAGTCCCTATTTAATGTTCAGGAATCCTAGGCATGTTTCTACGTTCCATCATTCCACATATATGAAAAATACATAATTCAAACATATAAAAATTCACACCAGAAATCAAATCAAAATCATGCATTTTTTAATTTATAACACAAGAACAGATATGACCCAATTTCACAAAAACCTATACTTTAATCCAATTAAACATGCATAATTATTTAATTTTATGTGTTTAGTAAATCCTGGAATTTCCTAGGCATGTACAGAAACACGAATCAAAGGGAAAGAGATAGAAGAAGAACTTGCCTTAAACTTTCGGATTGAAAGTTAAACTTCTTCTTCCTTGATCTTCTCTCTAAAGGGTTTTCTCCTCCTTCCTCCCTCTTTCTCCTTCTCTCTCTAACTCTCTCTCTAGAATATATTACGTGATATATTTTCACTCCTTTTTCAACCTATAGTTGTGTATTTATAGGCTAAATAATAACCCTATTCCTTTTCCCAATCCAAGTCAACTTAATAAAAATAAATAAAAATGAAAATATTAAAAAGGTAACTTAAAATATGTTACGTATATAATCTATGTATATCCTTATTAATTAAATAAAATATATACATTAGATTATTTAGTAATACTAAAGTTACCATAATATTAAAAGGTAACTTAAAACATGTTAAGTATATAATCTATCTGTATTCTCATTAAATAAATAAAATATATACATCAGATTATTTATTTATACTAAAGTTACCATAATATTAAAAAGGTAACTTAAAACATGTTACGTATAAAATATATGTATATCCTTATTATATAAATATATAAAATATATACATCAGATTATTTATTAATACTAAAGTTACTATAATATTAATAAATTACTTTCCTTTTTATATATATGTATATACATATATATCTATATATATACATATACAACTATCCATGGATAATTATTCATACCCATCCAACCTCCTATCCAAGCAGTCCATGGGATCCAATTGGTTGGCCAATTACCACTAACCATAACCATAAAAGAAAAATAAAATAAAATAATAAAAGAAATGAAAACATTTAATTTATAATTAATTAACATTAATCAAATACATCATTTAAGCACACAATCTAATTAAACAAATAATACAAATAACACCTAGACAAAATACAAATAACACATAGATAAGTAACCAATTAATCAAGTAACACTTAATTCAATTAAACACATAAACAATTAGTCAAATAATCAATTAAACAATTAAAAAAAATATAATAAAAATAAATAAATAAATACCGAGACTATCCTTTTAAAATTAGGGGTATTACACACGTCCCTGTGGTACCTGTGCCTGAGGACTGCCAACCTGAACACCTGACTGTTGCACTGACATAGTAAGAGTATCCCTCCTAACTGATCGTGAACCCTGTGAAGACATAGTAGGCTGTGGTGGTGGTGGTCTGAAACATGACTGAACTGTAGCCGATTGTGACGGCCTCTGCTGTGACCCTCTGCCACTAATGGTGCCTGCTCTCTGACTCAGACAATCACGAATCAAGTGACCCTGCTGGCCACACCCATAACAAGCCTTCGGAGCTGACGAAACTGAAGACGATCTCATCGGACAACTGGACTTGTAATGTCCGGGCTGCTGACACTGATAACAAACAACTGCACTCCTGTCAAATCTAGCTGGCATAGGAGTGGTAGGAGCAGATCTTGTAAACTGTTGCCCCTGAAACTGAGATGGACTGCCCCTGTTCCTTTTCCAAGAAGATCCCTCTGAGGATGGCCCTGCACCCCTCTTTTGCTTCAATTGCTCTCTTCTTGCATCATTCTCTCTATTGTCAGCCTCTAGCATCAAAGCCCTTTCCACTGCTTCAGAGTAAACCTTAATAAACTGTGTCGTGATCAACGGCCTTATTCGATGATTAAGACCCGATACAAACTTTCGAGTCTTGTTAGCTTCATCTCTCACCACTTCTGGAGCAAAACGGGAGAGTGAGGTGAACTTGTTTTCATACTCCGCCACTGACATGTTCCCTTGAATAAGATTATGAAACTGGTCTTGTAACTCCCATCTTTTGGAAAGCGGAAAGTACTTTTCATAGAACAGTTCCTTGAACTTGTCCCAACTCATCTCTTCAATCTTGTACTGGTTAGTGATCGACTTCCACCAAACCTTGGCATCCATAGCAAACTTGTAAGTTGCTAGGATGATCTTCAAGTGATCCTCTGTCACATCCATTGAGGTCAACTGAGTTTCGACTTGATCCATGTAGTTGTCGGCTACCATTGGATCCGCACCGCCCTCAAACATAACCGGGATCAGCTGAGAAAACCCCTTAATGATCTTGAGACGCTTCTGAGCTGGAGTCTCCTCAACTCGAACTGTAGGTTGTGGTACCAACTGCGGCTGAGCAACAATCGTTGCCCTCACGACATTTTGCAACAAACGATTAAACTCCAGTGCCACAGAACCTTCACCCACTTCTACAGGTACGGGTGTTTCAACATTCTCTCTTTTTGAGGGAACAGCTCTTGGGGGAATCAAGTCCCTAAGAAGCATGTTCTCATCAACTGGCTCCGCCGAATTGGAGCTAGAGCTCTCACCAACATCACCCCTTGTTGGTCTAGGGCCAACTTCTCTAGGTTCCTCACGCCGTGACATCGTGCTATAAAACGAGAAAACGATTCAGAAACATGACACTAAGGTCCACTGTAGACGACTCAACAAGAATTAATACCGTACAACACTTAGCATGCAAGACTATGCAAGAAACATTTTAACATAAACAAGTAAGCAAGTAAGCACATAGGCAGTTAAGCATGCTCATTTAAATAAGATACCACGTAGCAAGTAGTCAAGTAAGCAACACAAACAACATTCCATGCGACTCTATGTAGGCCTCTACCCGTCGTCCTAAAGGTTTTCGAACCTTGGCTCTGATACCAAATTTGTAACGTCTCAAACTAATACTTTTTAAACAAAAAATAAATTCGGCATGACCTCCCCTAAAAATAGGCCTATCACAACCTGTTTAATTGCATTTTTAACCTGTCACGACTCAAATTCCGAATTCACGGCAATAGTAGATGATAATACACAATCAAATGACCTCGATAATACCTCAAACTAGTATTACTCTCCCCATGCATCAATAAGGTTTACATGTTATCAAATTCACATCCAAAATATTATCAAATACCTTACATTACATAACAAAGTTTTGCAAAATATACATATACACCTTCACACTTTTAGTGCTTTGCAAAAATAATGGGAGATATACAAAAGACACAAAAGTGAGCTTCTAGTATCACTCAAGCTTGAGGTGGGTTGTCGTCCACCGGTTCTTTTCCAAGACCTGAAAAAAAATATATAAATAGTAGGGTGAGCTATATGCTCAGTAGGTGACACTTAAGACACAATTCTTGTGTCCTAGTGAATCCAATCAAAGCATAGGCCAATGGGAGATAGGGATCATACAACATAGGGGATCAAATACAACATACAATTCAATTCCAATTATAAACAATGCAATGCAATGCAATGAAATGCAATGCATGTCAATGACACTCCCCATTTTCATTCTCAAAACCATCACTTTCAAACGTTAATACAGCCCGCCCTTTGGTAACCCCGCCGCGACACGAGAGGAGGATTGGCTAGTGTCCCTGACCCTTGGTAACCCCGCGGCGTCATTATGGGGCCCAGCTAGCTCAACCACACTAAGGCGACTCCCTAGTCCCCTCTAGGCTATATTAACCTCCGGCCCGTTGGTAACCCCGCAGCGACCGGGTTTGTCAAAACCAATTTTTTTTTTTTTTTTTTTCCAAAACATTCATTCCCAAATCCCGCTTTTCATTTCAAGACAACCACTTCCCTTTTTCATGCAACCCAATGAGATGTAGGCTCATGTCATGATCTCAATATAATGACAAATGGGAACTTAGCACAATAATAAATAAGCATGTTCTCATGGCATCATTATAGCATGTTAGTAACCTCAAAAAAAAATGTAAACAACCATCACATAGACATACTTTTCATTCAACCATGTTATACACATTTACATAACTAGCATGTTGTCAATTAAATCATTTTAATCAAAATCAACAACAATTAAACATACTATAACACACATAGAGGAGCATGATTCATTATAGAGCAAGATTCCATGGCTTAAGATGTCCTTACCTCAAAAATGAGCAAACCCTAGAAAATGGGTCCTAAATTTCGAAGTCCAAAGGGTGCACCAAATCTGGAATTGTTGGTATGGATGTGTAGAGCTTGACACAAGCTTCGTTTTGCCTCAAACGGCACCTCAATCCGACAAAAGATGAAGGAGTAATCAACAATGGAAGCTTGAAATGAAAAGAAAAGAAAAAAAAAAAAGACAAGAAGGAGAAGCAGAGGCGTCTGTCGGGAGAGAGAGAGAAAGGGAGAGACCAATTTTGGTCTCACAATTCACTTAAAAAGTGATGTGGGTCCCACTTCTTTTATAATTTCTTTTTCTCATTTCCTTTTTCATTTAAATCACACACCACACACACACAATTATATACAAACATCACAATAACCTTAGTGGAGTCATACCCAAACAACTTCTGAGTATTTCAGGTTTATCAATTTAGCTAAATCTAGCTGGGAACCATTTGTCTGGGTCCATACCATCAGACATTGGCAACCTAAAAAATTTAGTGGAGCTTGATATATCTGAGAATGAGTTGTCTGGTGAAATTTCCAGTAGCCTTGGTAGTTGTACCACCCTCCAAAATCTGTACATGATGGGCAACTTCTTTAATGGATCTATTCCTTTGTCATTAAGTTACTTGAGAGGTCTCCAGGACCTCGATCTTTCTCGTAACAATTTGTCTGAAAGAATTCCCGCATTCTTTGATAAATTCTCCTTGATGAATCTTAATTTATCCTTTAATGATTTCGAGGGTGGGGTACCAATGGGAGGAGTTTTTGCAAACTCTAGTGCTATCTCAGTTGTTGGGAATTATAGGCTTTGTGGAGGTATACCTGACCTTCAACTACCCAAATGCAGCGTCAAAGAATCAAAGACATGGAAAAGGTCTCTTGCTTTCGTGTGGATCTCAATAGCAAGCACACTTCTGGGTGTGATCCTGTTGTCATCTTTCTTGTTCTGTTGGCTTAAAAAGACAAGAAAGCCTCAACCTTCCGGATCAGTGTTGAAAGAATCTTTAGTTCAAGTGTCTTATGATAGACTCCTCAAAGCAACCGACGGGTTTTCTTCAGCAAATTTGGTTGGTGTGGGTGGTTATGGCTGTGTCTATAAAGGAACACTAAACCAAGATGATTCAATTGTTGCAATCAAAGTTTTAAACCTTCAACATGGAGGAGCTTCCAAGAGTTTCACTGCCGAGTGTGAAGCAATGAGAAATATTCGACATCGAAATTTGGTAAAGGTCATAACTTCTTGTTCAGGCATAGATTTTCAAGGTAACGATTTCAAAGCTCTAGTTTACAAGTTCATGCCCAACGGGAGTCTAGAGAGGTGGTTGCATTTGAGTCCAGAAACAAGTAATGGACAGAATGAGATGCAAAGCCTAAAAATGCTTCAAAGAATAAACATTGCAATTGATGTGGCATGTGCACTAGAATATTTACACCACTATTGTGAAATTCCAATCATTCATTGTGATCTAAAACCAAGCAACATCCTACTTGACGGTGACATGGTTGCTCATGTTGGAGATTTTGGGCTGGCAAGGTTTCTTCGACAATTCGAAATTCCAAATCAAAGCAGCACAATTGGAGTAGGGGAAACTGTTGGCTATACTGCTCCAGGTAATCACTGTACATAACTATTTCTTTTTATCTATATTTGTTTCCTTATTCCTTTTTATCTATATTTATTTCTTCTAGGATTACATTAAAATTGCATCAGTAAATCTATAACTTCTCGGGATTAAGTATTGAAACCTGGTTAGGATAATACAATTTATTGCCTGGTTCATTCACCAATAAAGAGTGGATCATGCTGGGTTTTTTTCTTTTCATGTTGAGATTTTTAACTTTCGTGAATGGCAGAGTATGGCTTGGGAAGCAAGGTGTCAACAAAAGGGGATGTATATAGTTACGGAATCTTGGTGTTGGAGATGATGACAGGGAAGAAACCTGTAGACAGTATGTTCAAGGAAGGCCTAAATCTTCATAACTTTGCTAGGATGGCTTTCCAAGACCATGTTATGGAGATCGTAGATCCAATGCTTCTAAAGTTGATGAAGAAGAGGCATCAGAAGTGCCCAATAGAAATCAGATTTCAAGAGAATCAAGAAATGACAACAGAAAGGAGTGTTTGATTTCCATGATCAAGATCGGAGTTGCGTACGCCATGGAATCACCACAGGATCGAATGGACATAACCAATGTCGTCCGTGAGCTGAATTTGATAAAAAAACATTCTTCGAGGCACTCAAAGAGGACAAAATGCACAATCGTAAGAGTCAAAACTCAAACTTAATTACATGCATGCTTTATTGGTTGAACTCCTCATTATTCAATTAACACAATTTGATGTTTTAAGTGCATATTGATATTACATTTTAAGATCTTGAAACTCGTAAGTCATTTTGATAAAGGTTTATGCATTTCCTTGACATTTCTCGGCTTTTCTCTTCTTCTTTTTCTTTAACATTTTACAGGGTCATCATGTCTGAAAGCAGAGAAGAAACAGCCCAAACTCATGTTTGAGAAGCAATTCGAAAATGGCTGTTATTGCAGTACATAGAAGTCTTGTGCACTGGACTCATATATGTATATCTACTTCAATTCCATAAAACTTTTAATAGCCATATTTCTTGTATTTTGAATCTTCTGTATTTCAATTGCATAAAATGTTCATGGACTTGGTTCCAAGAACTTGTCCTTGTACCGTTTGTACTTCAATTGCATATAATGTTTCTTGATTTCATACCTATATTTATCCTCAGTAATTAAATTATAAGTGTGTGTGTGTGACAGAGAGAGAGTCTGTTTCATGTACCTCATATGACTTTTTCTGCGAGCACAGGTCTTCTGTTCTGAGTTCCAAGTCCGAGAGAATAGAAAAAGTGTGTTGCAATTCTCCAATGAGACTCTTATTTCCAGTACCATTATAGATCGGAAGTACTCCTGGTTTGCGTTAACCAACCCCATTATATATGTGTCAGAACAAATGTCCGAAAACCAATATCATAGTTAAGAAACAAGACAGAAAAATAAACATACACCACATAAGACACAATGATTTACCTAATTTGGCATAGCATTTTGCTATGCGACAGCAGATGTTTCAACCCCAAACCCTTTGGGCTTGCTTGGTTCAGAGTGAAAACAGTTCTTTAAAAACAAATCTTGTTTTTTTTATTTTTTATTTTTTTTATAACTGAATTTTCAAAAAATGACAACCAAATAATTATTTTTATATTTTAAGCTCTTTCAAATCAAAAAACTGAATCAAGCAGTCTCTCACATTTTCTAAAACGGTTGTCGTGTTCTCTCATACCAAACCATAAACTCTAAACACCCTTACATAGTGAGACGAACAGAGGAAGAGAGAACTTCAAAGCTGATAAGCACATCATGTGAAGGGTGCCGGGAGAAGAGAGGGATTGGCGTGAGATTAAAACATTGGTAAAGGTAGTGGAAGTTCTCAGAAATTGACTAGCGTATCTACTTAGCTAATTTTAGTGGGAGTGATCCAGATAGAGTTGTTTGTGGCCGATTCTTCCAAAACTTCTAACCTAATTGAGGATTGGCAATCTATCAGACGTAAGGAAGACTTAGATTAGGTCCTGTCAATCAAAACAACGAACATCTTTGATTGCATGTCGAGTTATGATTGGTTGGGACCATGTAAAAAACTTTCCATTAAAAATAACATTTTCTGACTAATTTTTAACAACAGAAAGTCTTTCAAGTGGGAAGACTGACTTTGGAAAGGGAAGAGAAAGACTTTAGAAGTGACAAAAAGAAGACTTTGGAAAGAGCATCTCTCCAAAGTCTGCTGTAATTTGTCAACACATCAAATCTATTTTGTTTATTTTTCAATACACATTTATTTTGTTTTTCAAAACACTAAATATGGTTGAAATAAATAAATTTAATACCTTGAAAACAGATTTAATTATGTTGAAAACTATGCTGTAACTGCAAGGATCTAGAATCCTGATTAGGTTTATGAAGTTCATGTGGCTCAATCCAAGTCAATAGGTTTATATTTTAAAGATTAATAAAGTTTTTAAGTAAAAGAATAAACTAGTCAATTCACATGATGTCATATGACAATGTCAAAGACAAAACCTAAGGGGTGACGTAAGATTGTAAGAAGTATCAAAAGTCAAACTCCACAGATATATTTGTAATTAAGGTTAACCTGAGAAAATGTAATTGTAATTTATCCTAATTTACAAGTGAGAATTCTTTATTTCACTATTGTAGTTCCTGTCCTTTGTAGCTTATAGGATTCTTTAGTTAATAAAATTCCTTGGAGATTAAACCCTCAACACATCCTAATATATTTCCATTGTGCTGAACTGATCCATCAAATTTATCTTCCAAATGAGACAATGCAGCATAAGCTGGTTACAACTTGTCATGAGTGCAACATTAATTGATTTATTTTGAATTCTTTGGGACCATAGACCCCGGTTTCTCTAATGTTTATGGGACGCGTTCACCTATTGAACGACTTTTTTAATTCATTATTACTTATCAAAAAAAAAAAGGTGGTTACAACTTGAAATCCATACACCAAGAGGGAAGAAGGGAATGGGGTAGCAACTTTAAATCCAATGCCATAAGACGTTAACGTCAAACCATGACAAATACTTATTCTGTCTCAGTAATGCCTTAGTGCTGAAATTGAAAATTGACAGTTGCAATTGTCATAATAATTGCTCAAATTGGTGACTACATTAATTCCAAGTAAAAGTTTGTCATCAATCATTTTTTTTTCATAGTTAATTTGGCAGATGCACGTTGGCCGGCCACAAGGTGTAACTTCAAATGTCAATGAAATGCCAACACAACTTAAAAAATAAATTATTTAACAGCCGTCATCTGAGACCAAGCTAAGCACGCACACATACATATTCAATTCTCTGGGCAATGCTAGCATCAAAAGGTTATTCAATCAATCAAACACCATGACAAATCTGAGTACACACAAATCAAGGCCACGGAAAGCCACTCTTTCGGAAATGAGTCTAATGCCTCTCGGCTCCTTCAGACTAGGAACACTATTTCTAGTGTTAACCACATTACTGCATATGATCATAAGTATCCTCCCCAATGCCACTGCCAGTACTAGTAGCTTTAATGTAGACGAGACAGATCGTCTTGCCTTGCTGGAGTTCCAGTCAAACATGAGCTCGAGGAATGATTCTTCCCATTTCTGCGAGTGGGAAGGTGTTACATGCGGTCATCGCCATAGAAGAGTCACCACATTAAATGTGTCATCCAAAGGCTTGGCGTTGCCTCCTTATGTACGAAACTTAAGCTTCCTTCGGGACCTAACGCTCTACAACAACACCCTTCAAGGTGAAATCCCTCCTCAACTTGGTCAATTGTTCAGGCAGCAGAGATTGTTCCTCAACAACAACAGCATTGAAGAAGAAATCCCAGCTAACCTATCAAACTGCTTTAGCCTCACATACCTTCGTGTAGACTATAATAGCCTAGTTGGGAAACTAACACAAGAACTTGGTTCACTGTCCAAGCTCAAACTTCTTGTCATTCATGTTAACTATTTAACGGGCGAGATCCCTCCTTCCATTACCAATCTTACTTCTCTAGAAAGTCTCTCTGCCTTTCAAAATCGCTTCATGGGAAATATTCCAGATGCTTTGGGTCAATTGAAACAAATAAGCGGAATTGGGTTATGTCACAATAATTTCTCTGGTATGATACCTACTTCAATGTATAATCTATCCTTGTTTACTATTATTTCTTTGTGTGAAAATCAACTTCAAGGTAGTCTTCCTCCGAGCTTTGGTTTGATGCTACCGCATCTCCAAATACTTCAATTATTGGGTAACCAATTTTCCGGACCTCTTCCATTCTCATTGTCCAATTGTCCAAATCTAGATTGGCTTGAACTGTCGGAAAAAAACGTTCAATGGTAAAATAACAGTTGATTTTGGAGTCTTCCAAGTATCTCTGGCGATTCAATCTTGAAAGAAATTATTTTGAACGTGGAGAACCTGATGAACTAAGCGTCATTGGTTCCATGACCAACTGTAGCAATTTGGAAATATTTGCTATAGCAAATAACCAATTAAGAGGGATATTACCAAACTCTGTGGGCAATCTCACTAAACAACTTCTTGGGCTATCGCTTGGTGGGAATTTTATACATGGAAACCTCCCTTCAGCCATATTTAACCTTATCAACCTGAATTTCTTAGGCCTAGACTATAACGAATTCACGGGTAATATTCCAGCTAATATTGGTAATCTTCAAAATTTAAAACAATTGAATCTTGGAATAAACAACTTCTCTGGAGAAATTTCATATTATATTGGAAACTTGTCATTGTTGATCGAGCTTTACATGCAGGATAACAGACTAGAGGGAAATATTCCCTCAAGTCTTCGAAACTGCAAAAATTTAATAAACCTAGACCTTTCTCAAAATAACCTTAGTGGAACCATACCCAAACAACTTATTAGAATTTCAGGTTTATCAATTTCGCTAAATCTAGCTCAGAACCATTTGTTTGGGTCCCTACCTTCAGACATTGTCAACCTAAAAAATTTAGTGGAATTGGAAATATCTGAGAATGAGTTGTCCGATGAAATTCCAAGTAGCCTCGGTAGTTGTACCAGCCTCCAAAATCTATATATGATGGGGAACTTCTTTAATGGATCTATTCCTTTTTCATTGAGTTACTTGAGAGGCCACCAGAATTTCAATCTTTCTCATAACAATTTGTCTGGAAGAATTCCTGCATCCTTTGATCAATTTTCCTTGAAGAATTTTAATTTATCCTTCAATGATTTCGAGGGTGAGGTACCAATTGGAGGAGTTTTCGCAAACGCTAGTGCTATCTCAGTTGTTGGAAATAATAGGCTTTGCGGGGGTATACCTGATCTACAACTACCCAAATGCATCATCAAAGAATCGAAGAAATGGAAAAGGTCTCTTACTTTCATATTAGTCTCAATAGCTAGCACACTTTTGGGTATGATCATGTTGCCGTCTTTCTTGTTTTGTTGGCTTAAAAAAACAAGAAAGGCTCAACCTTCTAGTTCACTGTTGAAAGAATCTTTAGTGCGTGTCTTATGATAGACTCCTCAAAGCAACTGATGGGTTTTCTTCAGCAAATTTGGTTGGTGTGGGTAGTTATGGCTCTGTCTAAAAAGGAATAATTAATCAAGACGATGCGTTTGTTGCAATCAAAGTATTAAACCTTCAACATCGAAGAGCTTACAAGAGTTTCACCGTTGAGTGTGAAGCAGTGAGAAATATTCGACATCAGAATTTGGTAAAGGACATAACTTCCTGTTCAAGCATAGATTTTCAAGGTAATGATTTTTTTTTTTTTTTCCTAAATGGAGGAAATTTTTCATAAATATAAACAATAGAATACAGAAAACTCATAGGGGCATACCCCTATCCAATACAACCAAAAGGAAACACCAAACAAACAAGCCTAATATAACCTATATCTAGGAAAGCAACAAAATTCAAAGACCCCTACTTCCCATAATAGAAACTGAGAACACCAAAAAGATTGAAAAAATCCATTTAAAATCTGATTGATCTTGCAACCAACCCTTGAAACGAGGCATGACTACCCTTGACAGCAGCTACCGCCGGACACTCCAACACAGAAAATTCAAACAGCAGAACAGGATAGCAAAAAAAATCCATCAACTCAAAACAATACTAAATCCCCTTCTGAAAAAGAGTTCAATAACTCACACGGATAGCAACATAACCAGCAACTCAAAACAAAGCTTACACAATATCCTGAAGTGAAAACTCCAAGACATCTAGCAACTCCCATAATGATTTCAAAGCTCTAGTTTACGAGTTGATGCCCAACGGGAGTCTAGAGACGTGGTTGCATTCGGGTTCAGAAACAAGTAATGGACAGAATGAGATGCAAAGCCTAAACATGCTTCAAAGAACAAACATTGCAATTGATGTGGCTTGTGCAGTAGAATATTTACACAACTATTGCGAAATTCCAATCATTCATTGTGATTTAAAACCAAGCAACATCCTACTTGACAGTGACATGGTTGCTCATGTTGGAGATTTTGGGCTGGCAAGGTTTCTTCAACAACTCGAAATTCCAAATCAAAGCAGTACACTTGGGGTAAGGGGGATTGTTGGCTATACCGCTCCAGGTAAACACTGTACATTACTATTTCCTTTTATCTATATTTGTTTGCTCTAGGATTAAATTAAAATTGCATCAATATTCAACACAATAACTTGTTGGGATTAAATATTGAAACCTGGTTAGGATCCATGTTTTGGATGGTATTATCTAAATTCTGTGATAATACTATTTAATGCCTGGTCCATTTATCAAAAAAAAGAGAATAATGCTGGGTTTAATTCCTTCCATTTCGTGTAATTTAACATTTGTGAATGACAGAGTATGGCTTGGGAAGCGCGGTGTCAACAAAAGGGGGTGTATATAGTTATGGAATCTTGGTGTTGGAGATGATGACGGGGAAGAAACCTGTTGACAGTATGTTTGTGGAAGGCCTTAACCTTCACAACTTTGCTAGGATGGGTTTCCCAGACCGTGTTATGGAGATCATTGACCCAATGCTTCTAAACGTAGATGAAGAAGAGGCATCAGAAGTGCCGAATAGAAATCAGATTCCAAGAGAATCAAGAAATGACAGCAGAAAGGAGTGCTTGATTTCCATGATCAAGATCAGAGTTGCATGCTCCATGGAATCACCAGAGGATCAAATTGACATAACTGATGCCATTCGTAAGCTGAATGTGGTCGAGAAAATTCTTCAATGCACTCGAAGAGGTCCTAATGCATAATATATGGTAAGAGTCAAAACTCAAACTTAATTACATGCATGCTATTATCGGTTGAACTCCTCATTATTCAATTAAATTGACTAAAAACACAATTCGATGTTTTAAGTGCATATTGATAATTGATATTACACTTTTAGATCTCGAAACTCGCAAGTCATTTTGATAGAGGTTGTGTATTTCCTTGACATTTATCGGCTCTTCTCTTTTTGTTTCTTTAACATTTTACAGGGCCATGGCGTTTGAAAGCAGAGAAAAAACAGCCCAAACTCACGTCTGAGAAGGAACTCGAAAATGGCTTTTATTGCAGTACATAGCAGCCTTGTGTACTGAACTCATATATGTATATCTACTTCAATTCCATAAAACGTTTAACAGCCACATTTCTTGAATTTTGTATCTTCTGCTTTTGAATTGCACAAAATGTTTCTGGACTTGGTTCCAAGAACTTGTCTTTGTAATTTTTGTACTTCTGTTGCATATAATTTTTCTCGAATTCATACCTATATCTATTTAATTACTGAGGATATAAAGTATGACAGAGTGTGTGTCTGTGAGAGAGTGAGTGCTTCAAGTACCTCGTACAGCTTTCTGCGAATCGATTAGAAAAAAGGGTTTTGCAATGCTCCAGTGAGACTCTTCTACCATGCGCCTTAGGTCTGTGTTCAGATCTCGCCAAAACTGAGACGATCGCACAGAACATCAACAACACAAGATAAATCCCCAATCCAGAGTTCTCTAGTTTTACCTGAGCACTGCCATCAAACGCCCCAAAATGAAGATCACAATTAAGAAAAGCAACAAAAAATAAAATGGAAAGATTTGCCTAATTTTTGTGTGAAGTATTTAGCAGATTACAAATTTCAACCCTAAACCTTTGGGCGTTCTTGGGCCAACGTTCTCAAAAACTCACGCACACAAAGGATAACTGAACTACGAAAATAAACACCCACAGGCGTTTGGTTTAGTTTCATAAAGTAGTTCTCACCAACTCATAAAATCATTTCTTTTCTATTTTTACTTTTATGAAAATACGAAGTTGTTTTAAGAAAACTAAACCAAGCATCTTTTATAATTAAGTTTATTTATTCAATTATCTAAATAAACAGATTTAAAATTTGTAAATATTTTTAATAAAGAATTTATTCATCTAGTATTTTATTCATTTGTTTATCATAGGGTATATGTCTCTCGAGAGAGCCATGTTTTCAACATCACTTGTAGAAAGAGAACTAGAGCCATGTTTTCAACGTCACTGATAGAAACACGATAGATGGAGTGGACAAGAGGCTCCAAAATTTTAAAATTAAAATTATAAATATTTTTTAATATTATTAAATTCTAATAAATACAAAATTTTATATTAGTCTCCAAAAATTTATATCTTAAAATAATCTTTTTTTCTCTTTTCTTTCTTCTCCCTCATTTCAATTTTATATTAGTTCTCAAATATTATATCCTAAAATAATTTATTTTTTGTCCTCTGTTTATCTCTCTCCTCCTTTATTCGGATTTTATAGTTGGCCTCAAATATATATATTCTAAAATAACTAATTTTGTAGGTATATTGAATTTGTGTTTTCTAAATCAGGTTCTATAATTCTTTTTCTTTAATTATTTTTTAGTTTTATTAACTTTTGTTATTATAAATTTGTGTATATATATATAAATATATATATTTTGTTTGTGAATTGTGATTATTTTTATTTATATTATTAAAAATAACACTTTATATTTTTTAGCCTAGGCCCAAATTAGAACGAGTCGCCGTGATGAAGACTTTGGAAACTGCCTGATGATTTCTTATTTGATATGGTGCATTGAACACGGCAGTTGGGTTGTCCAAGTGGAAACTAATGGTTTAGATTATTCCACAGATTTTATTTTATAGATATTTTTTTATGAAACGTAGAGGTCAACTCCCAAGTCCCAACAATATCAAGGACAACGTAGAGGTCGATCTATAGTGTTCGTCACATCTAGTTGTTAGCATGGCTTCCTGGTTTTGTTGGGTTGGAAGGGAAAAAAAGGCTCAACCTTCTGAGTCGTTGTTGAAGCAACCATTCATGAAAGTGTCCTATGAAATGCTCCTCAAAGCAACTGATAGATTTTCTTCAGCAAATTTGATTGGTGTGGATAATTACGGTTCTGTCTATAAAGGAATCCTAGATCAAGGGGAAATTGTTGCAGTCAAGGTAATAAATCTCCTTCGTCGAGGAGCTTCCAAGAGTTTCATGACCGAGTGTGAGGTCTTCAGAAGTATCCGACATAGAAATTTGGTGAAGGTCATAACTTCTTGCTCGAGTATTGATTTTCAAGGCAATGATTTTAAGGCTCTAGTTTATGAATTCATGCCCAACGGAAGTCTACAACAGTGGTTGCATTCAAGCTCCGAAACAAACAACGGTCAGAGTGAGATTCAGAGCCTAAACTTGCTTCAGAGAATAAACATTGCAATTGATGTGGCTTGCGCACTTGAATATCTTCACCACCATTGTCAAACACCAATAGTTCATTGTGATCTAAATCCAAGCAATATCTTCCTTGACAGTGACCTGGTTGCACATGTAGGGGAATTTGGACTAGCACGGTTTTTTCAAAAACCCATAAATCCAAAACGAAGCAGTTTGAAAATAAAGGGAACGGATCGGTCTGCCGCCCCAAGTAACAATCTAAACTTTTGTTCCATTTATATATATTTAATAACAGTTGTTTCTTTCATGTTTACTTTAAAGAGTCGTTCTATACCGTCAGAAAGAAAGTTAAAAGAAAGTTCAACGTATTCAATTGTATTTATAAGCGCGAGATAACCATGAAAAAAGTGATGTCATTCTTCACTCACATAAAATAATTTGAACTTTGAAGTGTCCAACTTTTAGACACTATATCATTTTCCTTACTATAAAACATTATCAATTAAAGAAACCAAGACTTCTCAACTAGTCAATATTAAATTTTGAAATCAAGTTAGAATCTATGCATTGGTTGGAATTTTACGCCACACCAGGACTGCCATACAAAACTGATCAAGTATAGTTGTTACAGGTAAATTTAACTTGCCTTAATCAAAATTTTGGTTTTCATTTTCAAATCTCAACTTCTTTTTTTCCCCTTATTTTCTTTAATTTTGTGAATGACAGAATATGGTCTAGGAAGCCAGGTTTCACCAAAAGGGGATGTATATAACTATGGGATTGTTGTATTAGAGATGATGACAGGGAAGAGGCCCATTGACCTTAACCTTCCTAATTTTGCTAGGACCGCTTTGCCTGACCGTGTTATGCTGATTGTAGACCCAATACTCGTGAATACAGCATTGCCCAATAGAAATCGGGTTTCGACAGAATCAAGAGCTGACATCAGAAAGAAATGTCTGACATCCATGATCAAGATAGGAGTTGCATGCTCCATGGAGTCACCACAAGATCGAATGGACATTACTGATGTCGTTTGATGTCGTTCGTGAGCTGAATATGGTCAGGAACAATCTTCGAAGAACTCCAACGTACAGAGCCTAATGCATTAAGGTAAAAACCAAAAAAATAAATAAATTAAATGTCTGTTTCTAATGGTGTTTTCGATTTTTGAATAAACTAGTCTTGTCCATGGCCAAACATTGTTCAATTGAAATTCTTTTGGGTAAAGATTGTTTAATTGAAATTGATTGCCCATCACTTGGAAAAACACTTGGATGTTTTGATTGCTTATGAATATAGATACTAAGAACCCACAAGTCATTAAATTATGTCAAAGGTCTGCGTATGTATTTCTAATTTCCTTGACATTTCTATCTTTTTCTTGTTGCTCAAATATGTTACAGAGACATGAAGCTTGAAAGCAGTGAAGGACATCCATAACTCCTGTTTGAGAAGCAGATGATCTTCTGGACTTCAACTGCATAAAATATTTCATATTCATACTTGTTCTACTTGTATCTTCCATACTTCAATTGCATAAAATGTTTCTGGACTTGTTATCTATATCTCTTGTACGTAAATTCAATATTTCAGTTGATAAAAAATACCTTTTATGCAAATTTGTTGTGTTTGTAATTAACATCAATGCAGAGCAACTTAAACAGTGTATCTTCCTTGTTAGGGCTAACCCAATGCCCTCCGGTTGGTGAAGAAGGAAATCAAGTTTAACATATATTTTGGGTATAGTGGGACATGATGAGTCTCTAAAGTTTAACATATCTTTTTTTTAAGTTCTTTTTTCCATGGTAAATTAGAGGGAGGGGAACTCAAATAAGGATATAACCTTTAGAAAGTTGGGAATTGGTATTTTCATTTTTTTTTTTATTTTTTTTTAAGTAAAAGTTGTAAAACAACTCAAACCTGTAACTCATATATGTCACCTACAAAATCATTTCTAAAGTGATGATCAACATATTGAAACCCATTCTAAATTGCATTATCAGTGAATCTCAAAGTGCCAAGCTGGAAGACACATTCTTGATTATATACTCTTAGTCTTATAGCTCATGAACTTCTCCATTTATGTGAAAGACCAAAGGGAAGGAAAACAAAAATGGGTGCCCTCAAACAAGACATGGTAAGGTCAGGCCGGCTCCACCCTTGGGCGATTGTCTAAGGCCCCGCTAATAGGAAGATCTTAATATTTTATTTTATTTTTTTTTTATGTTATAAATTTTTTAAAATTTTTATTTCCTTCCTATTATCAAACTCTAGCCAATAGAAAGGTCCAAAATTTTTATTTCCTTCTATTGTAACTTTCAATTTTTTTTATTTGTTTATATTATAACATTCCTAAAATTTTTATTTTGTTCTTGTTATTAAACTCTGCCCAATAGAAAGGCCCAATTTTTTTATTTTTTGTTTTCTTATATGGGCAATACTTAGGTTGTGACTTGTGAGGATATACACCGTCCTTGATGTAGATCAATAAAAAATAAATACGTTATCTTTAATTACCAAATCAAATATGGTGGGTATATCTTTATTTACCAAATCAGATATAGGTACATATACCATCACTAATTTAGTAACAAAAGAAGACATGTTCAATTTTTATTGGTCTACATCAACAGTGGAGGAAGTGATCAAAACAGATTTTAATAGGGGCCCAAAAAAATTATATCTTTATCTCACCCTTTTTGTTTTCCTCCTCATTTACAAATTTTTTTTTTTTTTTTCTTTAGAATTTGTAAAACTTTCCATATTTTTCTTTTAACTTTTATCTTCTTTGTTTTTTTTCTTCTTATTTCTTACATATTTTTCCTTCTTTTTCATTAAATTTAAGTATAAGTTGTATAACTCTAAGGGCTAGTTTGATATTGAGGAATGAAATAAGGTACGAATGGAATGGAATGGGAATAAAGACCATTCCCATTCTCTAGTTTGGTTATGCATGGTTTAAAAGGAAAACTAATTTATATAGATGTAATCCAAATATATATTTTTGATGTATATTTCGAAATTGAAGAGGGAATATCAAGAAAAAGTTGACTTTTATTGGATTTCGTTGTTTAAGAAAAGTATTTATTTTTACTCCGTATTTTTTTAAGTGGGGAATGGAATGCCATTCTTCTTGTTGGAAAGTAGAATGATTTTCATGAAATGACCATTCTCCAAGAAATGTGGAGAATAAATATTCCATCTTTAAAATTACTTTCCAAACAAAAAAATGGAATTAAAAGCATTCCATTCCACTTTATTTCATTTCATTCCCACCTACCAAACTAGCCCTAAGATCAATTATGTGACGAGAAAGATTGATTGGATTGATTATATTTTATATATTAAAATGCCACTTTTATGTTTTTGGCCTAAGCCCTCAAATTATATTGAGTCGCCTCATAGGATGTGATGCAGAAGTATTATGATAAGTAAAATGACACCTAACTATTACTTATTTATTACTAATTTTTTTTAGCAATGCTACCATTGTGGATATTGTCACAATGACCGTGAGAAATGAGAAAGTGTGAAGTGCACCACTCCACAATTTTATATCTTTTAATGCAATGTCGATTTTGTAATATTGTGAACTGTTATATATATATATATATATATATATATATATATATATATATATATATGTGTGTGTGTGTGTGTGTGTATATATATAATAAATCAAAAGATTATTGAAAGTGGTGGGACCCACCATTAACCCATTTGGTGGCCAAGAGACCATAAATTGGTCTCATTCTTTCTTTCTCCCCGCAGGTTCTCTCTTCCCCTCACATTTGATCTCTTTTTTTTTTTTTTTCCCTCTTTTGAAAGCAAACTTCAATATCAAATTTCTTTCTCACCATTTGGAATTTTTGGAAGCCGTTTGCGGCAAAACGGAGAGCACGGCGAGATCTACGTGCGAGTACAAGCAATTTCAGCTTTTGGCCTCCCCTAGGATTTCGAATTTGAGAACCATTTTGAGGAATTTTCTACAAATTTGAGGTAGGGGTGTTCTAATGCATAAATTCTTATACTTTTGTGAGTTTTCTTTCTTAATTTGATGTCAAGCATGCTCAATTTGTATAATCTTTGCAAGGATTGTTTAAAAGTTGGATATGGAACACATGACTACTTGTTAATTGTTGTGTAGTGATTAAATATTCCTATATGAAGTTAAATCCATGCCTTAAATGCTTACCATGTTAAATTGATGATTGATTGAAAGTATGAGTATTGTGTTTTAGAAATTTATGTGGGATAGTATATGTAAAATTTTTTATTGTTGATGATTTGAAATATGGAGCATTCTTGCATCCATCGGGAAGAGAAAAGGGAAAAATGTTTTCAAAACAAAGGAAATAAATTTTAAGGAAAATGTTTCTAAAAGTGTTTGCGAAAACCGAACGCCTAGGAGGCGCCTAGTGGTCCGTGTTGTTAGTGTAGTCTAGAAGGGAGTATGGTTGAGCTAAGTAGGCCGGATGCGACGCTTTGGAGGTGCCTTGTGGTCGTGGATAGTTAGTCAACCCTCTATTCGTGACACCTTGGAGGTGCTTTGGGTCGGATTACACTAAAGGTTTGCAAGTTGAAACGGAAATGTTTCGGAAATGGGGAGCGACATTTGCATAACATTGCATTTCATGACATTGTGGGAAATTTGTGATTGGTTGACATTTGGTACATACTAGTTGTTATGGTTGAGAATATGTATTCCCCATGGTATGACCCCTTTCTTTTTTACCCATTCCTTATGTGAATTCACGGGGTCATAAGAAGTGTGTCTTAGACATTTCCTACTAAGCTTATGCTCACCCCATTATTTTTAACATTTTTCAAGATACGGAAAAGAGGTGATGGATGACGATCCATCACAAATTTAGACGAGATTTAAGATTTATTTTATTTTGCTATCTTTTGTATTAGAACTCTAATCTTTTGTAAATGAAATCTCAACTATTTTGTGAAACTTTAGTTTAATTGGTATAATGTTGTAAGCTATGGACTTTAAAATTTTAGCTACATTTATGGACTGTAACTTGATGTAACTAAGGTGTATTGCTTGTTTGGATGAGATGGAAGAACGAGACTTTTTATATACATGTAATCATTTTGGGAATGTGATATAATAATTGTGTTGTGCGTTGAGACATGATAGGTTAGTTTAAGGCCCAGTAAGGCATTACATTTTTATGTATTTCAACATGTTTTTGAGGGACTTTTTCTGCGGAGGTCATGCCAAAATTTTATATATTT